AGTCTCATCAGTGAGTCGTTAGTTGATATATCGCCATGTTTCCTTCCGAAAGCTAGTGCTGTTCGACGACCACGTCACTTCAGATACCACACCCCCAGAAAAACGGCGTTTGTTGCCATCACGCTCACCATAGTTATCATCGGTGAAAAGCGGCGTTCAAATCGATCTACGAATCCCTTTATCAAAAACAGGCCTTTATAGCATTCACTGCTCGTCGTATACATTTCCGTTGCTGTTTGGCATTTATCATTGTGTTGTTCATCTCGGATGCGTTGAGTGACACAGTGCAGTTCATCACGCGTGAAAGAGATGAGTGTCAATTTGACACTGTCAAAGGTTCGACTAGTACCATCCCAAGGGGATGGACTACTGTCATCAACACCGATACCTACACAATTCTGTCGATGATGTCAGGAGGAAAGAAAACTCAACTAGTCTAATCCAGGACTTAATACTGAACGACTCTAACCGTGTCATGGTGAACAGCGCAACAAAAGTAACGAGGTAGCAAAATTATTCTACAGAGCGAATGATAATTCAACATGTGCTATGCCTCGGTTGAACACACGTTGGACACCAGCGCTATTCGCGCTGAATAGCGGAGAGAATCGCGGTGCTTGAGCCCCCATATGGGTATGAGATGAATCTGAAGACCTCCCGAAAGTTTCAAAAACTCGCTCGAAAGTCTCTAGTTTGCTATGTACAATATACATGCTGTACAAGATTTTACGGGCCACTTTCAACACTCCTCCTACGCACAGTTCGTACGATCCTTTCTCAAGACACAGGTTGTACGTAGCTCATACATTCTTCTTCGCAACAAGTTTGATCATCAGCTACTGCAGATGGGGCTTCCCACTTTCACATTGGGCATGATACGGTGACCATGCGCGAACGAAGCCGCGCAGTGGGGTTTGAGATTTAGTTCGGTTTGTTCGATTACTTTCCTGTCCATTCTGCGAGATTGTGCATGCGTACGTGGCTAATTATTCATCCCCCTCGCTGGACAGAGAACTGAGACCACCAAACCTTTATCCCTTTAATCACGTCTTCACTGAAAGTATAACTCAAACATTTTGAAGGAAAGAATTACAAAGCATCTGACCATAACAGGGAGGCATGAGGATGTGGCACAGCTCCAGCGTGAAAGCTCGGCCCGACTTGTCTCCCAGTGTTTCCTTCATCAACCCATATACCGTCGATTGGTGACCAGAAAGTTGTAGCCGTATTGTTTGTTTTCCCCTCGATTTTCGATACCGCTCCTCTCCCTTCACTGAGAGCACTAAGTACACCCTCTAAGGGGGTGAAGGAGTCCTCGCCACCCTTTCCCCCGGTGAGCATCTGTGACACAGCACGGAGATTTTCCTGTAGCGGAAACAGGAGCCGGGGATCCGCCGCTATACGACGCAGGAGCCTGATTATGTTTTTGGGTTGCGTCACGACGTAGCTCTCTGGAAGCTTGATCGTGAACAGTGACCAGTCGAGCAAGGACTCAAACGGGAATACTATAGCGTTGGACAGGACCTGCGACTGACGAAGTAGGCTGGAGTTTGGTATTCAAGAGAGCCTCACAACGGGGATGCAACCCGAGATAATAGCATCGAAGATTCGTCTCGTCCATGGGGTATTGCCGCGAGGTATAAAGCAGAATGTCGAGTCTTTCATTTCAGCATCATAAGTCGGGGAGAATGCAGCAACGAGCA